CCGCCCGCCTCCTGCTTTCACAGGCGGTGGGAGGGTGCTGGGACCCGCGAACGGCAAACTAGTCGCCGAGCAGGACCCTCCCTACGGGTGTTAACGCAGCGAAAGCAGAGGCAGCAACTCTCCTCTCTGCTCTTATAGCTTTTAAAGAGCATAGTTCAACCTCCACAGAGTGGTGAATTTTCTTGCTTCCTTGGATCCCATCCTAATTTCTTCCCACAGTTTCGTTCCTATATCCGCCCAAGTCTGAACTTCAAAGGCAGCATTAACTGAGGGGATTAAGTCCTTTCTCCATGCCCAAAGCAACAGAGACTTCAAGGCAGCCGAGTCATATTGTAACCCTTTCACGGAGAGGATGTATTGGAGGAGTTTAACCACTGCTGACTCTTCCTTTGTCAGTGTGGACCCCATCTCCTCCCCGGCCGCCTGCTTGATCAGGGCAGGGTTTCGGGGATTTCTTTTCCCGATTGGGTGCGCTAGCAACTCCCAGGTGCCGGGGCAGCACTCACCTTTGGCCGGCTTTCGCTCCCTCAGGGTTCGGTCTCCCTGGAGAAATCAGCCATTGACGCTAGTGCCGATCTGGGGGTCCAGCCCTCAGTCTTCGGTCTTCCTGGAGAAATCAGCCGTCGATGCTAATGCTGATCTGAGGGTCCCTGTTCGGGTGCCATTTGTTGCAGCAGCGTCAAGGACTCAACCAATATGATCCATAACAGTCAACTTTATTAGCAAAGAAGCTGGATTATATAGACAGCACTCGGTTATGATTAGTCGCTATACATAAACACTCTGTACAACACTCAGCTCTAATTGGTCACCATACATAAAAACATCTATCAATAAAACATCCTGGTTACATAAGCAGTACTCAAACTATGATTGGTCATTATTCATAGAACGACTGTTTACCTGCAGCTGGCCTGAGAATGATTGTCTTTCCCACAGCCAGCCTGGGAAAGGTCTGTTTTCCCACAGCCGGCCTGAGAAAGGCCTTGAGGCCAGTGCTGCTTGAAGCCTGTGCTACTACAAACCGATCGAGTCCATATTCAGAGTGTCTGGGTTGTTCACAATATGTCTATGTTTTTCCAGAAACCCTACAGCTCTGCTGGACCTTGTACTAATAAACAAGAAGGGACTAGTTGAGTATATGAAGGTTGGGGCAGCCTCGTGGAGTGACCATGAAATGGTGGAGTTCAGGATCCTGTGTGGAGGAAGCAAGGCAATAAGTAGGATCAAAACCTTGGACTTCAGGAGAGTTAAATTTGGCCTCTTCCGGGACCTACTCAGAGGAATCCTGTGGGTCAAGGCTCTAGAAGGTAGGGGGAGTCCAAGACAGCTGGTCGCTGTTTAAATATCATGTCCTCCACACTCACAATCGGTGTACCCACCTGAGCAAGAAATCTAGCAAAGCAGGCAGGAGACCCCCGTGGATGAGCAAGAAGCTTCTAGCTGAGCTCAGGTGGAAGGGAAAGGTCCATGGAATGAGGAAAGAGGGGCAGGCCACTTGGGAGGAGTACAGGAATGTTATCAAAGCACACAGGGATTCAATGAGGAAGGCTACGGTCCACCTGGAACTGAATCTGGCAAGGGATGTCAAGGACAACAAGAAGGGCTTCTTGAAGTACATCAGCAGTAAATAGGAGTCTAGGGACAATGTGGGGCCACTGCTGAATGAGGTGGGTGTCCTGGTGACGGAGGATGCAAAGAATACAGAGTTATTGAAACATTAGCCTTTAGTGGTAAGGCTGGCCTTTAGGAATCCCAGGCCCTGGAGGTAAGAGAGGAAGCCCACAGAGAGTATGACTTTCCCTTGATCGAGGAGGACTGTATGAGAGGTCGCTTGAGAAATCTGGA